TGCAAACGAAGTGTAGCAGAGTGGAGACCCAAAGCCCATCTGTAGACAATTGGACATCCTCTCACAAAACGGTCACAAAGAAAGGACAAGCCAGCCAGGGAGCAGTACAGCACCAATGAAACACGCAACATTTCTCTAGTTTTTAACGCTTCCTCCCTCCCCACTAGACCGGAGGATGTACACTGGTACAGATAAGAGCTCTTGACACACAGAATCCAGGACAGATAAACCCCTCAGGACCAATAATAAGAGTAGCAATACCATGAGGGTAGAGGGAAGGTGGGTGGAAAAGGGGGAGAAAGAGGAAACTAATTGCAATGATTGATGTATAACCACTCCCCTGAGGGGGATTCACAAAAGAAATGTAGGTGAAGGGAGACAGCTGACAGTGTAAGATATGAAAATAATAATAATTTATAATTGATTAAGGGCTTATGAGTGTGAGAGAGTTGGGGAGGGGGGAAGAGGAGCTGATATCAAGGGCTCAAGTAGAGAGAAAATGTTTTGAGAATGAGGATCGCAACCTATGTACAAATGTATTTGATACAATTGATGTATGAATAGTTATAAGAGCTGTAAGAACCCCCAATAAAATGATTTATAAGAAGAAAAAGGACAAAAGATACAGCTACTCTAGAAAACAATATGGCAGTTAAAGGTAAACGTGCTACTGCCATATGACCTAGCAATTGTTCCCATAGGCATTTATCGCAGCAGATAAAAACCTGTACAAAAATAGAACAGTCAATTTACTCATAATAGCAAAATAATCGAATAGAAGATATCGTTTAACAGGTAAACAATCAAATTACAGTGTATTCAGCAATAAAAAGGAACAAGTGATTGTATAAACCTAACTATTAAATTAATCCACAGAAAATTATGACTAGAAAAAGACAACCCCATGGGGTTATATAATGTATAAGAATGTTTTAAAACATTCTTGAAATGGCAAAATGTCACAAAAGAAAAATATGGGTTACAGAGGATGAAAAACTGTGAAAGGAGCAGGTTTGGCTGTAAGAGGACAAAATGGAATGAAGAGGGAATGGAAATTTTCTGTATATTTACTTATTCAAAGTCCATATTCTAGTTGTGATATTGTACTAGAATTCTGCATGATGTAGCCAATAAAGCATATGAGTTTATAATTATTTCAAAATAAAATGTTTAAAAAGTAAAATCAAGCGCTGTGGCCCTGTGCGTTGGGTGCTGGGCTACTAATTTCAAGGTTGGTGGTTCACAAACATCATGGCACTCCATAAGACTACTCCCATAGTGATTTGTAAGAGCAGAAAAGGTCACTGTAGGTCAGAGATGATTCACATACCAACAAGATAAACTCCACAATCCATACATTAAAAAATGTTTTATATCAATCATGTTCTCTTTTAAAGTGTCTTGATCAAGGCAGAAAAATATAACAACACAATCTATCCAATAGGAATAAAGAACAGAGCAGTGATTAATGTCTCCAACTACAGCCCCAAGAGTTGGATATTAAACTCAACAACTGCTCTCGGGGGTGGGGTACTGGAGAAACAAATCATAAGATAGAGAGTAGATGTTTGTTTGACCTCTCCCTCATGGAAGTTTTCCTTCTTTGTCTAGCCAGAGGTCAGATAAAGCCACACTTAATTTAACAATGTATTTCAGGTCCAACAGAAGTAATGACTAAAAATTAAGAAATTGTTTTTCACATACAATGGAAGTTCTTTTCCAATGGATAGTAAAGTTATTCTGCTTAAAAGTTTAACTGTAATAAGCCTTCTCGAAGAACTCTAATGTATGCACAAGCTTTACCTTAGATGTTTTCAACATGGACAGTACACTGAAATTACCAACAAAACTTTAAAAATTGTGGCTACCAGAGTCCTAGATTTTGAGTTGCTGATTTAATCAATTTGAGATATGATCAGGTCTTCAAATTTTTTCAAAGGTCCCGAGTAGTTCTAATGTACCAAGGTTGAGAACCTTGGTTGAGAACCATTATAATGGTTATACCTCACATCAAAAAAGGATCTATGACTAAAATCATCTTGTCAGTCAATGCAAATAAGCTACACCTATTAAATTCTGATAAAATCCCATCTAGGCTCATTTTCATATCCAATATACTAATAGTGATAATAATATTTATAGTTAACATTTAAGTCTTTCTAGGTACTACAACTTGGGATGTGAATACTTTATACATTATTTCAAGTAATCAGAACATCTCCACGAGAAAAGCAGCATGTCCATGTTCACAATCGCACATAAAGCTCTGAATTTGCTGCTCTCAACTACTGTGTAGTCATTAACAGCAGTGACTTGACACAACCAGATTATCAAAAGCCCCCAGACCAAACCCATTGCATTGAGTCTATTCTAATTCATAGCAATCCTATAGGACATGGCAATACTGCCTTGTAGAATTTCCAAGGCTATACTTATTTATGAGAAAACAGTGACACATCTTTCTCCCATGGAGTGGCTAGTGCATTCACCCTGCTAACTGACTAGTTATCGGCTGAGCACTTAAATCACCACAACGACAGGGTTCTTTTATGAAGGGGAAGATCTGGTAATAGGCAGGAAAGAGGCAAATGTACATCCTACCTTGTATAAGACAGAATTCCACTTACAACCATTGACCCTAATGATACATTTGTATAAGAATGTATACAGAAATAGCTATAGCACCATCAATACTAATGGCCAAGTCTAGAAAACTAAAGCAGAATGTCCATAAATAAAAGAATACTCTATGTTAAAGTGCTTCTTCTCACCCACTGCCATCAAATCAATGCTGACTCAGAGTGACCCTAAAGGACAGGTAGAACTGCCTCTGTGAGTTTCCCAGGCTGTAACTCTTTAAAGGAGATAGAACTTGACTGAAAGTAGAGATGTTCACATGTGTTTCATTGACTATGCAAAAGCATTTGAATATGTAAATCATAACAAACTATGAATAATATTGTGAAGAATGGGAAGTCCAGTGCACTGCATTAAGCTTTGGGAAATGTGTACATAGACCAAGAGGCAGTCATTGAAACAGAACAAGGGAACAATGAATAGTTTAAAATCAGGGAAGATGTGACAGGGTTGTATCCTTTCACCATACTTACTCATTCTAGATCAGTGGTTCTCAACCTGTGGGTCGCAACCCCTCTGGGGGTCAAACGACCCTTCCACAGGGGTCGCCCAATTCATAACAGTAGCAAAATTACAGTTATGAAGTAGCAACGAAAATTATGTTATGGTTGGGGGATCACAACATGAAGAACTGTATTAAAGAGTGACAGCATTAAGAAGGTTGAGAACCACCGTTCTAGATGCTAAGCAAATAATCCAAGAAGCTGAACTATATGAAAAAGAATGTGGCATCAGGATTGGAAAAACTCAACCTTGCTTGCGAGGATTTGAAGCACTTACTGATGAAGATAAATGACAAAAGTCTTCAGTATGGATTATACCATATGTAAAGAAAACAAATAACGTAAATCAAAACAAAAATCTTAGCAACTAGACCCATAAACAATATCATGACAAATAAGAAAAGATTAAAATTTTTAAGAATTTAATTTACCTGGATCCACAATCAATGTCAATGGAGTCAAGACATAAAATGATAAAATGCACTGAACTGATATTCAACAAAATACTTCTTTGAAATATTAAAGAACAAAGGCATCACTTTGGGGACTAAGATGCGTCTCACATAAGCCTTTTCAACCCGTTCAGGTGCATGCAAACTCCGCACAATGAACAAATGATTCATTTGAATTACAGTGTTCATAAAGAATGTTGAAACACTGTGGGCTCCAGAAGATTGGTACTTTGGACAAACTATCAGGAGGAAACAGTTCAAAGAGAAGAGTATCATGATTGGTAAAGCAAAGGATGAGCGAAAAAGAGGAAGGCCTTCAATGAGATGGACTGAATCGATGGCTCCAAAAGTCGGCTCAATCAAAACAATAACTGTGAGGATGGCCCAGGACCTGGCGTGATAATCATTAAGATATACATAAAGTCACTATGAGTTAGCACTGGCTCAAGGGCACCTAACTACGACACCACAAAACAGAATCATCTTTCTTATGAATCTTGATTTCCTTGAATTAATGATTCTCCATTTGTTTTTTTAGTTAGCTACAAATTTGATTTATAGACCAGGTTAGCAATAGAATTTTAATAAAACACAACTATGATGTTTTTCCTATTTCCTTCTTATGCATAAAATATAAGTTGTCATTTCTTTTAAAAATAAATGTGTAATATATACACATGTGCTCTCTTCCTTTTACCTAATCATCAAATTTAATCATCAGCAGGCTTTACTTGCCATAAATAGCTCTAGTCACTGAAAAATTTCCTTAAAGAATATAGGGTAATTTAATTACTCATATTCTTCTGTGTTAGATATATAATTCAAAAAATGTATATATTCTTAATAATGCTCACTGAACAACCATCTATATTTCCAAATAAAAGTTTCTAGAAGTAGAACATATTTAAGGATTTAATTTATACTTCAACTGCCCTCGAAAATCATTGCCAACTTGTATTTGTGCCCTCAGTGTATTATGTCTTTTCACTAGACACTTAAGAGCAGTAATATCTTTGTGACAAGAATTTTTCAGTTTTAGCAATTATATAGTCATACTTTTGTTGTTCCTTCTTCTGCACTTATACTTAGAAAAATAATTCCTCGACTCAGGGTAGTTACATATGCTTTTTCTCTCCATTTCTTTGGGAATGGTGCGTAATTATTAAGTAACCTAAAAGGGATTATTTGTGATTCTTTTATAAAATCATCAGAAATCAATGGTAGTGGCAGCAACTCAGAAATATAAAGGTGACTTAAATAATTTTTTACCTATCTTTTAACTGTACTTATCTCAACATATACACTTTCTTCTGTGAACATTTTTAATATCTGGATCTTAACAGAAGCAATGAAACGCTTTCAGGTATATATAATCATATGCTTAATTTTGTTTTAAGTTTTTACTCACTTGTATTCATGATGTTAGGAGGGCAAGAGGATATCCCATGATCTAGTGCCCATCTGTAGGCTCCTTCTCCAACTAAAAAGCTAACAACAAAAAATATATTCTTTTAAAAGGTCGAAGTATCATCTTCTCCTACATAAATAATATGTTAAGGCAATAGGAAAAAATCTTGCACATAAACATAAATCTGTATTTAGCAAAAAATAGCAAAAAAATAAACTCACTGCTGAGTCAATTCTGACTCAAAGCTACCCTATAAGACAGAGTAGCACTGCTCCTGTGGGTTTCAGACTATCAATCTCTATGGGAACAGAAAGCCTCATCTTTCCTGAATGCATCAGCTGATGGTTGCAAACTGCTGAGCTTGTTGGTTCCCATGAGAAATACAAGCTGTTCCCAGGTTGTGGACGGCCAACTTACCTACAACCTGCAATTACTAACCAACTCCCATAAAGCCCACTACATTAAAAATTTAAGGGATGTATAAAAGTTCATAATACCAGCATGACTCTGTGGCACTTAGGAAAAATCGGGCTGAGTTTACAGTGAGTTTCTTCACTTACTCCAAAAGTGATTTTTAAACCCTAAACTACAAGTTTCAACATACAAAAGTCAATACATAGGTAGTTAGCTAACAACATAAGACTTATTTACAAAGATTTCAAATAGTATGCTAGATAATGAACTACCCCATTTCCGATGTAATTTGACAAAGCAAGTAATAATGTAATAAGCAGTTACTATAATAATCAAGTCACTTCATCTCCATTCATATCCAAGTTCTTAAACATCTTTGCAAGCTATGCATGAATTTTTTTTAAATGTAAAACTGTTTGTGCATTTCCCACTCCCTATTTTCATTTTTACTCTTCCAACCATTCTAAAGCTAAAAATTCTAGTAACATATACTGAAGTCTTAAGATCCAACTATTAATAAAATGGAAAAGCAAAATCTAAAAATATAGAAACATATATGGCTCAAAAGAGCAACTGAAAGGTTATGCTTAATATTAATTTCCAATACATACATAAAGGTGAACTGGGGACATATTAGAAAGAAGAAGAAGAAAAACTACAACTGATAGTATAATAGGTTAAGGCAGTGGTTCTCAACCTGTGGATCGTGACACCTTTGGGGGTTGAATAACCCTTTCACAGGAGTCGCCAGATTCATAAGAGTAGCAAAATGACAGTTATGAAGTAGCAATGAAAATAATTTTATGGTTGGAGGGTCACCACAACATGAGAACTGTATTAAAGGATCATGGCATTAGGAAGGTTGAGAACCACTGGGTTAAGGGTTGGACTGCTTATGTCAAGATAGGTGGTTCAAACCCACCAATCACTCTACAGGAGAAAGATGAGGTTGTTTGCTATATAAGAGGAATCAACTTTATGGCAGTATGGTTTGGAATAGATTTTAGCACTTCCTCCTAGAAAAGGAATTTGATAAGAAAAAACTTCTCTTCATGTGAAAATGAAAAACAATAAATTAACTAGTCAAGAAAGAATTTGAAGCTTAATCTAATATTTCTGAATTCCTGCTATAAAATTTGAGTTCATTTATAGTACCTAGAATCAGTGTTATTTTACAAAATGTTCCTAATTTTATTTTTATTAATGTTTTATTCTAAACAAAATAATTTTGCTGCTGTCATCTATACACATTTTTAAATAATCTAGGCATTTTTAAATATTTACAAGATCACCTCCGATCATAGCGGAGGGGTGTGAATAGCTTGCTATCAGACAGGGAGCATTGCAAACCAATTATGGCAGATGTAGTTAGATTAAATTTGATTTCTAATAACATATACTGAAGTCTTAAGATCTAACTATTAATAAAATGGAAAAACAAAATCTGAAAATATAGAAACATATATGGCTCAAAAGAGCAACTGAAAGGTTGCTCTTTTTTTATTTCTCTTTGGGCCCATTTTAAATTTTCAGCTTTTAAAATTTTTGCTTTCTTTTTGAATGAAGTTTTACTATGTTTTGTCCAGTCATTGTGTTTTTGTTGTATTTTTTGTTAGTATGTTTTGGTTTGGCATTTATTTGGGGGGGTGGGGTACTTGTTTCCTCTTTGTGCTTTGTATGATTTTCTGTATATGAAATCCAGGATAGGCAGCTCTATAGAGCCTTCAACAAGAATGTCTAAGGGCAAGGGAAGAAAGAATGGAGGAAAATGGGAAGCTAACAATGATACAAAAAGAAAATGTTCTGAAATTAATTGTGGTGATAGGTGGTGATATCTTCATATGACTGAATGACTATGATACATGAAGTATAAGCTGATGAAAATATTTTTAAAATATTCACAGGAAGGCTTATCTTTAAATGTCATTTTATATATATTAATACTGAAAATATAAACTTTCCTTACTATTAAAAACTTGAATATAAAACAGTTGGTCATCATATTAAATGTCATACTGATTCTGAAATCATTTTAAACTGTTTAAATCTATGCAAGCTTTTGCTACAAACTATATTAACATTTTAAAATCACTTTCCAGAAAATTAAATGCAGTGCCAATACCATCTTCTTTCGTGCTTCCAACTCTACAAAGAGAAAGTTTTTAGAAAAAAGTTTACCCCAATTAAAAAATCCCAGTGGGGTTTGATTAAGTGCAATGTAGTCGAGAAGAATTACTGAGAGTTGAATGAAGGTTGAACATTTTAGTGGGACAGGAGGAAAGTAAAAAGAAATAGAGGAAAGAAGTAGGAGATAAAAGATATTTATAGAGGTATAAATATAGGCAAGTACATATGCAAATATATTTATAGCGATAGGGATATAGGTCTATGTACATATATTTAAATGTTAAGTATTAAAGTAGCAGACGGACATTGGGTCTCCACTCAAGTACCCCCTCAATGCAAAAAGACTTTGTTCTAATAACCTGGCTTTCTGTGATGCTCACCTTCCTGGCATGATTGCTGAAGAAAAAAATAGATGCATAAGCAAATGTGGTGCCAAGAAAGCTGATGGTGCCGGCTATTAAAAGATACAGTGTCTGGGGTCTTAAAGGCTGGAAGTTAAACAAGCAGCCATCTAGGAGGGAAGCAGCAAAGGCCACATGTAAAAACCCCACTAGCCTGTGTGATCACATGGTGTCCATGGGATCAGGTATCAGGCATCAGATGGCCCAAGGCAAACAATTAAATCTATGTGAATGCAGTGAAGACACAACACTCATCTGTAGACAAATGGACAACCCTTCACAGAAAGTTACAAGGAAGAAACAAGTCAGCCAGGGTGCTGCAAATATATCCATGAAAGTGGTAAAGGATACAAAAGACAAGTTATGAAAACTTCTCAGACATCACCAAACACCTTGCGGGATGAGTCACTGGGCCTGGGGCATCTCTGGGAACACAAAGGTCAACTGGCATAACATAATTCACTAAAACAGTGCTCTCTATATAATTTAGTGAATAGCTACTAGGGCAGTGGTTCTCAACCTGTGGGCTGTGACCCCTTTGGGGGGGTCGAATGACCCTTTCACAGGGGTCGCCTGATTCACAACAGTAGCAAAAGTACACTTACGATGTAACAATGAAAATAATTTTATGGTTGGGGGGTCACCACAACATGAGGATCTGTATTAGAAGGTTGAGAACCACTGTACTAGGGTCTTAAAAGCTTGTGACAAGTCCTTTAATGTGAAATTATTGGTCTCTCCCTATCCAGAGAAGAAAAAAATGAAGAAAACAAAAGAAGCACAGAACTAATGAATCCAATGGGACTAATGGACCATGTAAATATCAGTCTCCAAAACCCGGAGAAAAGAACTATAGATGGTGCCGGGCTACCACTCCCAAGTACTCTGAAAAGGTTCACATTAGCAGGCCCTGCATGGAGAAAATTGTGAAACACAATCCAAAATCACAAAAGAGACCAAGTTCACTGGTCATACAGACACTGGTGGAAGTCCCAAGACTGTGGCCCTCACCCTTCAGGCCTGGAATTGAATCCACCTCCATTTAAAATCGAAAGGGCAGCACTTAACCAAACAGAGTTTAGAGGGTTGAGAATAAAGGAGGAATGGAATAAGGAAGTACAAGAGTGGGATGTGTGATGGTAAATTGAAGGGATTGAACTGGTTGAGTTGAATCGGCATATGGTTGATTGAATATAAAATATGATCTCTCTTTAGACCTAATTGACAATAAAAAGTGTAGTACAATCAAGAAAGAAAACTCCAATGGCTCTAGGTGATGATTGGATTTTGTATGGTTAGATTTTATATCAGCTTGATGCACCTGTGAGAAGGGATGGCTGACGTTCAACCTCTGAATCAGGATAAAGCCTAATGATGTCTCCTTCAAGGCATAGGCTTTTGACATGAGATACTGTGGAGAACTGTCTTTGTCTCTGCTGTCTCTGTGACTTCTGTATTTCCTGGATTCTGCATCTGATGCCTGGGCCATGCTGCCGATTGTCCCTGACAGCTGTCAGTATGCAGTCACGTTCCTGCTGACTCGGGATCCGCACAAGGCTGCACCTACTAGCCTGTGGTCTCCTTGCTTCCTACTTCATTTTGCAGTTTCATCAACTGGCAGAAGGGTGAGTAGGGAGGGGGCTCCCACTAGAAACTGACCCATGCATGAGTTAGACTGCCCTGGGCTACTTTATTGATATAAAAATTCATCCTGATATAAAATTATTTCTTATGTATACATGACTGTCACTGGTTTTGTTCCTCTAGAAAACTCAGCCTAATACTACCATAAAATATATATCCAAAATTTGACCACTTGCCATCCCTGCTACCATCTTCAGCCTAAGGCTTAAGCAAGCAGGACTCTAAACCATCATCATCTATCACCTGGATTGTTGCAATGGTCCCTAGCGAATTTCAACATTTTCATGCTTGGCTTACCCTGTCCTGTCCACCATTTATTTTCAACACACCAGCCACTGAAATTCTTATAAAACAAAAGTCAGATAATGATAATCTTCTTCTCACACCCTGAAAACCTTCTTGTATGGTATGCTAGTGTACAAACTAGTGTCTCCACACAAATGTAAGATTCCATATGGTCTGATCCTTACTTCTGTTCAGCCCCCATCCAACCA